GCTTGATGCACGCGATGACGTTTATGAATATGTCAGTCATCTTTAAAGGCTATACAGTTTTGCTGCGCTCTTTGTCATTTCTAAATCTAAATGACTAGCACTAGATTAGCATGATATTATATGGAATATTTACGTTGCAGTTCCACAATTCTTTTTGTAAATCGAAGGGATTAACTTTTAGCATTATCTCCATCTGTCTATACAATTCCCAATCCTTGATATGACCATGGAATTTTACAATTGAGATTATACTACTTTAATGTATGACCTTCTGATTGGTTGATTCCACTTTTACTCACATGTGATGATGAAACCCTTATTATATTTTATTCATTTTAGTAGTACAAAAAACAACAGATTTAACGAATTTCAACAGAATATATTAACAATTCATGAAATTTACAGCATTGAAATTTGGTACGATATCCATCAATGTTGTATTTACTATATTTTCCATTTTGCTAGCCAAATTAAAACTACAGAGTAGTACCTAACGAATCTAAACATTAGAAAATCACAAATTTAACATCAATATTCAGTACCATGTTGATTGATATTAATTTTCACTATTCTTTCTGCCTACTTTTCAAAATAACAATAAAAAGGCCAATAGGCTCTGTTCAACCGTGTTTTCTGGTATCTCGTGTTTTCATACCCTCGTACGGTTACCACGTCCCGTTAGTATCCTATCGTTCAGGGTTTGAGTGTCATGATGACACTGTCATCAGTACACATGTCACGACCGTGAGCAGTGCAATAAGATTTAATTGATTATAAACAAATAAAAAATTGAGGAAACTTCAGGGATCCAGAGGTCACAGTTAAATAAAATATTGTCTAATTGCATGTGTAAGATTAGATACGTAATAAATCAGCTATTAGGCCTAATTAGTATAAGATTTCTTTTAATAGGTCTGTGACTTTGGCGAAATGCGAGTAAATTAAATTTGATGTTTCGGTTTTATTTTTTTTTTAATGATACAAAGTACTTTGTATTTAATAATACTGATATCCATAACGATGCTCATATTGTCGGGTCATATTCATGATATTGAACATCTCCAAATTAATCCCCCCCCCCCTGTGGTAATGAACGATACAATAGTAAACCGCACGGCTAAATTTATAAATTAGGCCTAGGTGAGGAATAACTATAAATCAAGGTACTTATTAGCATTGGCAGTGATAGATCTAGAAGAAACTTAATTCACTCGTTTTTATTTAAAGAAAATACTGATATTTAACTTATGATGACTTAACTTATAACATGACCTCTAATGACCTCTAGATAAGACTATCATAATATTCAGAAAACCGCGTTGTATTCATTTCCACTCCCTCCTGCTTGTTAACCACAGATTCCATTCGTCTATCTTTTATTCTTTAATTGTCTATTAATATTATTGTCTACAATACAAATGCACAACGGAGTCCTCCAGAGCACCAGAAAGGCTTGAAATGCCCTATAATTGAGCAATGTAGCTTATCGTCACGGAGCGATCTGCTCGACATGACTTGATTTCATAAGACGCATGAGAATTTTAGTTTACTTTTCGTTCACCGGCATGAACGACTCCAAAAAAGTAATGAACACAATAGTGATTGACATGATACCAACTACCATTTCCTTTGTAGAAACAGCTGTACCGAAATAAACGATATCTTGTGAGTACTCTTACTACTAATCAATTATCGCATGTATATAACATCTATATATTAATTCTACTGCTAATCGCCACCGCTTAACTTCCCCTATCTCCTATGAAACCGCTGGCAGGAATGTGCTCATATCTCATACATTGGGCTTCTATATGTCACGACCACATTCCGCAACTTTTTAAGGCTGGATATTGGATAACAACGAAAAAAATCCAGCTAAAAACCACCGAAAATCAGTACCTGTTTCGCCATGTTTCGCAAGTTGCTTAGGTCACGTAAATACAACAATTAATCACTTGTATTCTGTACTGCAATGCTTAGGTCCAAAAATATCGAGTCAGGCCGTAAAAGAACCAGTCTATGTTTCGCAGCTTCATTACGTCACCGCCAGCTTCCCACGTTCGTCAACAAAGTGGGTGACAAGCATGTTCCTGTACCTCCTCAGAGTACTCATTGCATTATACTGGATATATTGTAGTTTTATGCACAAAACATCAGCAATAAATGGCATGTTTTAGAAGCCAAACATGTAAAAATAAATATACACCTGGGCACAAGCCATGATATAGCCTCGGCCTAACCATACCGGCTAGCCCTAGACACAGCCCTAGTCTCTGGCCCAGGCGCGGCCTAGCCTAGCCTGTTATGATGTCGATCAGAGGCCTAAAACCTAGGGGCCTATCCTCTATCTCTCGAATCTGGGTCGATTTGGATAGTGCATAAGATAAAAGGGTCAAGCCAGCTCCCAATCAATACTTTGATTTTTTTGTAAACACGTCGGGACAATATTTATGGGTTCTTTTGAATGTCAGTAGTAGCTCGGATAAGCCTTGCATGCATCCACCTTCTTTCAAGACAAACACTTCTCTCATGCCCAACTAGGCTAGGCCTACTGTATATTGCTGTACTTTCACTTACTAACAAGAGGGTAGCCCAAAGCAACAGGGGAAGATCCAGCAGGGGAGAGGGATGTTACTGGGAAGGGATCCGTTTTGCCATTATTTTTTTTAAATTTCAATGCAATATATGTGCTATTCGCTTATTCGGAAACTGTTGTGTCCTCCACCCCCGTTTGAAACATTCTGGATCCACCCTTGATCACACTGCATAAAATACAGTAATTCCTCACACAAGGACTATCAGTGTGCAGCAAAGGCACTCAAAACACTACTTCAGAAAAATAATGGCATGGTTAAACCATAACATCCACAACGATTGCCTCATCAACTTCCCCATTCAACAATGTACATCATCGCCACCTTTTCCCACTCATTCAACACGTGCGGAGCACGGGTAGGCAGCGTGACCACTCACAATTTTTGATATACCCAATGACTGGGACGA